AGCGACTATGTTACAGAGACGACTATTCCCACAAACGCAAGCACAACGCTTTGAAACAAGGATCGCCTTCTTACCACTTTCTCCAGAACAACCATCAGCCCGGCTCTGTTCCAGAAGTTCTCGAGGGGATTTGCACATCCTTCGTCAATCAGGAACCCTTGGACATCAGTCTGGCAAAACAAAAAGAGTTGTTTTTCTGTACTGCAGCTTTTTGAAGGGCATTTAAATGCTTCAGGCAACAAGGAAATCAAACAGCTCTAACTGCGCACTGGCTCATGAAGTAAGGCCACACCAAGGGAGACCAACGATTTGGCTCTATTGTCCTGTACCACCTCCTCTGACTGGCAGCTGACAACTGGCATCTCAGCCATATTTTCCCCACCCCACCCCTGCTCAAAGTTCTTCAAGTCAGGGGTGTCAGACATGCAGCCTGGGGGCCGAATCAGGCCCCCGGGGGGCTTCTTGTCAGGCCCGCAGTGGAACTGCCTGTCTTCTGCTTCTTCTTCCAGTTCTGCTGCTGCTGCGTCACCGTAGGTTTGCAGCTTACAGATACACACCCTTGAACAGCATACTCAAGATTGCAACAATACAGACATTTTGATGCATTAATTCAGAGCAAGAAGGGTCAGTTATCAGACACTGTTAAATAAACAAAATACTGCAAGAGTGCTAATGTTTTAAGCATGTTTTTATTTTAAGGGGGAAAAGAGCCTTTGTGTTTGTGTCCTTTATGAAGTTTATATCTCTGCTACCTGGCATTCCATTTTATGACACATGTGGCCCGGCCCAACAAGGTCTTGTTTATGTCAGATCCGGCCCTCATAACAAATGAGTTTGACACCCCTGTTTTAAGTGATGTGGCAGAGCATGGACCTTTGTTTATTCAGGAGGTGCTCAGCTACAAAGCTAAACAGCAGCCGTAAGCCACACCAAGTGCATATCTTCGAAGCGGGCGTGTCAACCGTAAAACAGACTCCAGCCTCAAGTTGAATTGATACAGTTCTTTACTAACAAAAGATGGTCTCTCTTAGGGAAATCGCCACCAAGGTTGCTTGGGAAAAAGCAGGTAGAGAAAGAGGTACTTTTCTCCCTTTCTCACAAGACAAGAACTCGTGAGCACTCCATGAAATTGCTGAGCGGTCGGGTTAGAACGGATAAAAGGAAGTACTTCTTCACCCAAAGAGTGATTAACACTTGGAATTCACTGCCACAGGAAGTGGTGGCAGCTACAAGCATGGACGGCTTCAAAAGGGAATTAGATAAGCATATGGAGCAGAGGTCCATCAGTGGATATTAGCCACAAGGTATAGCTAGGGGCTCTGGGGCAAGTGATGCTCTGTCTTCTTGGTGCTTGGGGGGGGGGCAACAGTGGGAGGGCTTCTAATGTCCTGGCCCCACTGGTGGACCTCCTGATGGCACCTGGTATTTCTGGCCACTGTGTGATACAGAGTGTTGGACTGGATGGGCCTTTGGCCTGATCCAACATTGGCATCTCTTATGTTCTTATCAAACGGCTTGAAATAAGAGAAAGAGTGGAAACGAACAAAGCAGCAACATTCAGACCCTGCCTTAGCAAAACAAAAATCTCCCTTACAAGTAGCCATGTCAGAGTTCATGCCAATAACTGGCCACAACAGCTTACAGCGGTTAACTTCCAGAGCAGAGCATGAAACTTAGCTAATTTCCAATTGACTGGATACTTATTTCTGGAACCCAGAAGAACTGCATTTTTAAAACACACTGATTCTTTTCTTTTTTCTCTCCCATTTTAAAATACCCACTAAGAAGTTTAGAAAAGCAATTGCAGACATAGGAGCTTTTCCCCTCTACATTACATTTTTTAATATATAAAACAATATTTCCTTTGGAGAAACTGTACCTCAAAGGTAAGTGGTCCTTTGCTCCTGTTCTTCTGTTCTCCTTCAACCAATCTGAAACACGTCAAAACATCTATTTTCACTAATTGCTCCCCCCCCCAAAAAAAACAACAGTCCAACAGAAATATACAATCTAACCGCTATTTCACATGCTGGTAATATCTTATGCAAATTGTGCCAGTGGCAGATAACCAAAATTAAAAGGTTCTTCGGATCCTGTGTTTCCCTTTCTGCAGTTATTCCAGCTTTGTTGTGATGGTCCATTGCATTATCTGTTGCATTATCTAGCCATTAATGTACCAGACAGGCACTCCCGTCAAAAATCACCCTTATAAGGTGCCAGATGTCCCCTCCAACCTCTGAATTTTCAGTTCCCCATCTAATAACTCTTCTTATGTGGCAAATAATATTTTATTACAGTGCTGTTGTCCCACCTTATTACTGTTTGATTTTGTTGTTGTTGCATGCACACGAAAGCTTGTTGTTGTTGTTCAGTCGCACAGTCGAGTCCGACTCTTCGCGACCCCATGGACCAGATCCCGCCAGGCCTTCCGGTCTTCCGCCGTCCTCTGAAGTTTGCTCAATTTCATGTTCGTTGCATCTATGACACTGTCTGACCATCTCATCCTTTGCCGTCCCCGTCTTCTTTGACCTTCGCTCTTTCCCAGCATCAGGGTCTTCTTCTCCA